ATAACTAAAACAGACTCTAAGCTGAGAACCTAGACAAGTCCACTTGGACTTCTATCTACAGAACTGTGAGATAGTAAATGGGTATTGTGTCAAGCTGTTAAGTTCATGGTAGTTCATTACACAGTAATATAAAACTAATACAGTGATAAAAGATACCAACTCACAGACTGAAGAAGCTCAATCAACTCTAAGCATAAAAAATATACAAATGTAATATATATACACAATATTATGTATATATATGGCATTATACATACAACATATAATATATAGAAAATAATATATGAAGTAAAAGTTTATGACAACAACAGCAAAAAAGGGTGAGAGAAGGTAAATGCAGTTAATGCATTACAGTATCAGTGAGAGATTCATTTCAGGACCCCTTTTGGATACCAAAATCTGTGTATCCTCAAGTCCCTTATATAAAATGGCGTAGTATTTGCATATAATCTACATGCATCCTCCCAAACACCATAAACCATCTCTAGATTACTCATAATACCTAATACAATGTAAATGCTACGTAAATAGTTGTTATACAGTACTGTATTGTTTAGGGAATACTGGACAAGACAGAAGGCGAATAATGCTCAAACAACAAGTGCTGGAGAGAGACTGGGGATCTGTGAAAAGGTGGTAGGCTACAGCAGGGTATGCCTACACATCATTTCATTGGCATGGACTCAGCATAGTGCTCGGTGTGCAGCAAATTCAAGTTTTGCTTTTTGGAACTTCTTTTTGTTCCCAAATATTTTTCATCCATGGTTGGCTGAACCCACGGATGCAGAATCTGTGGATTCAGAGGGTCGAGTATATTCTGGAAGTTTATGACCTAAGGTAGACTATAACAGAGCAGGAATGCATACAAGAATGTTGATGGTAACCACTACAAGAATATATAAATAAACAGATAATGGAAGAAAAAAAACATACGGTATCAAAATATATTTGCTAAATCCAAAAGAAACCAGTAAGAGAAAATAAGTTAAAAAAAAAAAAAGGACTTTTAGAAATCAAACAATGACATGGTGGGTTTAAACTCAACTATACAAAAAAAATGAGCCCTGTTGGAGTAGTGGTTAAGAGCTCAGCTGCTAACCATAAGGTCGGGAGTACGAATTCACTAGCTGCTCCTTGGAAACTGTAATGGGGCAGTTCTACTCTGTTCTATCAGGTCACTATGAGTTGGAATTGACTTGACAGCACCGACCAACGAACAACGTATCAATAAATACGTTAAATGTAAATGGAAAGAGCAGTTCAATCAAAACACAAAAATTGTGTGTGGCTGAATCTAAAGAAACGACAACAAACCTTCTTGCTGTTTACAAAAGGTACACTTTAAATATACGGTCATAGTTAGGTTGAAAGAAAAAATTACACACAAACATGATTTTTTAAAAACATCAACATTTTTTCTTCATCTACTAACATGATCATTATGGTATTTTTCCTGTATTCTGTTAGTTGGTAAATTAAAGTTTATTAATTTTTTTAATGTTTAGCCAACTTTGCTCTTGTGCAATAAATCCTAACTCTTCAAGATGTATTATCATTTTTAGATATCCCTGGAGTTCATTTGCCAATATTTTGTTCAGGATTTTTGCACCTATGTTCTTACGAGATACTAGCCTGTAATTTTCCTTTCTTGTAATGTCCTTGTTATGTTTTGGTATCAGTGTTATGCTGGCCTCATAAAATAACTTGTAAAGCATTCCTCTTTCTCTATTCTCTGAAAGAGTTTGGCTTGGTATTATTTCTTCCTTAAATATTTGGTAGAATTTACCAGTGACACCAGCGGGCCTGGAGATTGGTTTGTAAAAATATTTTGAAGTACAGATTCAATTTCTATAAAAGACACAGAACTATTCAGGTTCCTGATATTTTATTTTGTCAGTTTATTAAGTTTGGCTTTAGAAAAAATTTGTTCATGCCATCTAAATTGTCAAATTTATTAGTATAAAGTTGTTCATATCATCTAATATTATCTGTTTAATGTCTGTAGATTTATAGATACCTTCTTTTAAGTTGCTGATATTGTCTTTGTGAAGCAATTTAGTACATAATCTTGGCTTTGTAGCTAGATTCTGAATATCACGTGTCTTCTCTAGAAGACCTTTTACTACCTAAAAGTCAGATACTTTCAAACACCCCCTCACTGTATGCTGTCTCTAATGATTTAACTTCCTTATAGCACAGACCACGTATGATGTCATAAAAGACTGGGCGAATTCTTTCTGGCCCTGTATATAATAATCATCTTTCATCCACAAAGAAATGAGCTCAATATTTTGAGTCCTTTAAGACAAAGAACATATTAAGATCAACAATGAAGAAATAATAAGGAAATTTTATGATACTTTTGGTGAAATTCCTTAACCATCTTAAAAAGAGCTACAAAGAGCATACTTGTTCCAATTTAGAAGTAACTGTTTTAAACTAATTAATGCTATAAAATTAAGCATTAGACAAAAGTATTCCTATTATCTAAATCAATTCATTCATATTTTTATTAGATTTCTTACCTATGGTAGTTTTTGAAATAATTGACACTTTGTTTTCTAATAGACTCTTGTAAAACTTCAGACTTGCTACCACAAAATTCTTCTCCAACTTGCATCAACCTAGTTCAATAAAGTTTATTTTAGAAAAGTTTGTGTAAATTTCAGCAACATTATTAAAGAGAAATAAAGCCCACATTTCTTTTTTTTTTTTTTTCCAAAAATAACAAATCATAGAAATTTCAGTCTTTGAGGAAATTCTAAAGATCTCAAATCTAATATGGCTTACAAACATGAAGAGAAGACAGTAAAACACACACACACCTAGTAGCCATTATGAATCTACGCATATCTTCATTTCTATGAACGAGTTATACATAACTTACTGACTCATTATTTCTTCAATTATCATGGTTGAATGAATCAAGCTAAAGAATAAGACAAGTAAAAACTCAACACTACCTGCTGATTATGTCCAAGACAAAGATGAAATCATCATATTTAAATATAGACAAGTCAGTTCCAAGCAAGTAGGTTTTTACTTTTAGCTGGACATCCTATAAGACAAAAAGATTTTTCAAGTAAACACAAAAATAGAAAATAAGTTCTCAGACCATTTATTCTATAGTTGTACATTAAAATAAGTTAGGAATATATTCTTAACTTGATTAAAAAAAAAAAATCTGGTCAGGCCTACAGCGAACTTCCTTAAAGGGTGATATGTTGTTGTTGTTGTTGGTTGCCATCGAGTCGATTCCGACTTATGGCGACCCTATGGTGTGTCAGAATAGACCTGTGCTCCATACGGTTTCCAAGGTTCTGACCTTTCAGAAACAGATCGACAGGCTTGTTTTCTGAGAATATAATATAAGAAGTTACAAAAGGACAAGTCAATAAATTTGACCCTCATAAAAATCTTAACCATTTGCATATCAAGAACACAATAAGTGAAAATAAGACAAATATACAAAGGATTAATTCAGGATCACATGAATTATTTACATCCTATAAGATAAATGAGCAAAAATATGAGCAAATAATTCACAAAATAAATTGCAGTAATAATGAATTTTTTAATGTTAAATCTCAACCTCTCTTATAACTGGAGAAGTATACATTAAAACATTACTGAAAAATATGGATAGGTTCAACTATCCTATTAAAAGACAGAGTATCTCTCTTAAAAAAGTCAAAACCTAGCCATTTTTACATTGATAGAAGATACAATTAAAATAAAATCCAAAAACATTTAAAATAAAAGGACAGTCAAAGGTTTACCAGAAAAATATGAACAAAATGAAAGCAGGAGAAGTAATAGTATCAAAGAAACTAGAATTCAAGGCAAAATGCCTCAGGACAAAGCAGACTTTTTTTTTTTTTAAATAAATGAATTAAGTACAAAGAAAGTGAAATGGTCATTAACATTTTAGCATCATCAACATCATCCGAATATAAACAGCAAAAGCTCCTAGAAATAAAAATAAAAGTAAAAACAAAACAACAATCATTCTGGAAGATTATGCTTCTCCTTCAGAACTCCACAGACTAAGAAAACAAACAACAAAAATAAGGACATAGAGATTACAATAATACAATTAACAAGTTTGATTTAATATACATACAGAACTTAATTCTCAACACAAAGAGGAAATGCATGGTTATTTGTCAACTGCCAATGGAACATTTTTAAAATGGGTGGCATACTGGAGGGTAAAGAAAATCTCAAATTCAAAAATAGAGATATCGCAACTAAAATTCTCTATAGTAAAAAGAGAAATTAATAATTAGCATTTTTTAAATGTCATTTCTTATATATCAAATTTTTTAAAGATAAAAAAGAAAATCCTGTGAGACCAGCACTTTCATGTGGTTAGATGTGTAAGCTCCATCAGGACAAGGACCCTGGGTTCATGGGTTAATCAGTTTAAAGTTTTAAATAAGACAGAAAATTATGAAGATTTTATTTTCTATTTCTATTTATTTATAACCCATCTTACTACAAAAATGCTGTGAGAACTTTGCCACAATTAAAAATTCCGTATATAAAGAAATTAAACTGGCAAGGGAAAATATTACTGATATAAAGTAAAAAAAAAAAAACAAAAAAATGTACATTATTTCAGCTACATTTAAAAAAAGACATAGGAAAAAATAGAAAAACACATCAAAGTGTAAATAATGGTTATTTATGGATGTTAGAAATGATAGTTCATTCTTATTTTCTTCTTTATACTATTCTATGTATTTTAAATACTCATATATCATTTACAGTAAATAAAAACAAGTATTCTTTAATTTCAAAAGAGGTGTCAATA